AGCGCCTTCTATCCTGGCAGAGGCGGCGGCGGCGGCGGCGGCGGCGGGGGAGACGGAGACCGACACGGACCCGGACCCGGACCCGGACCCCGACCCCCGGCCGCGGGGCCTAGCGCCATCTTCTGCCGGCGGATCCCCGCAGGGCCCGGGCGGGCCGCGGCGCCGACATGACGAACGTGTCGTACCACATTTCCAACCTGCTGGAGAAGATGACGTCCACCGACAAGGATTTTCGGTAGGGCCCGGCCGCGCGCCGGATCCTGGCGGCCCCGAGGGGGGGGCCTGGGCCGCGGGGCTGCCCCGGCGGGGAAACGGCGCTTGTTTGCTTGTTGTTCACGTCATTTGTTTGCTTTTCCTTTTATATCATATATATATCACGGTATACGTATCATTTGCGGCTCTGACTGTGGCCGAATCGGCCCAACCAAGCGCTGAATCCGAGAGTCCGCGACTGTCCCCCGCCCGTGGCTTCAGTTTGCGTCCCAAACTTTTTAATTTGTTAACGAAATGTTTCGTGTTCCAGCCAAATCCGCGAATCGGTGCCGAACCGCAACCGGCAAACATCCTCCACACCCGTGTGGGGCTTCAGATATTTCCAAACCCTTTACCCGGCGTGCTGTGCTGTGCACAGGCCCGAGTGTGGAGGCACGGGGTTCGCCTGCCTTCAGCTGTGCGGCCATAGGAGCCTCCCGTTTCCATGAAGTGCTTTAAGCCCCGACGCATCGGTGGGTGCTGAACCGTGTCACAAGAGCAGTTATATCCCCAGGAACACTTCAGGAAAACTGGCTTCGTGGACCTGGATACGTGGTGTTTCCCCTACATTGCACTGTTTCCAAATCCTTTGGCGGGCATCCTGCTTGCAGTCCTGGCTTGGGGTTCAGATGCCCCTGAGTTTTGCTTGCCCTCGGCCATGCGGCCCTCAGAGCAAGCAAGGGAGGAGAGACCTGTTTCCATAAACTGGGGTGCACCTCGGTGGGTCCTGAACCGTGCCAGAAGAGCAGTTCAGGAAAACTGCCTTCTTGGACATAGATGCGTGGTATTTCCCCTGCCAGGTTAAGAAGCCGGTAGACTTGATCTCAGCCTTTGAGAGGCCAGGAAGGGAAGCAGGTTGAAGCCTCTCAGCTGAGGGTGGGGAAACAGGTTGATCTCGTCTGTTCTGCACAACTGAGCCCTTGGTCGTCGCTCTTGGGTTGTAGATCCCACGCACGTGCACCCCCGGGGAACTTGGGGTGAGGTGCGCTGGACAGCCAGCAAAAACAAAACAAGTCATTGCACGCAGCTGGTGATCACTGAAAATCCTGTGCTGTGTATTCAGTGCTGCTCAGGTAAAATAGAAAAGGCCTCTGGTGGCTTGGTTAGGAGAGGCTGGTGTCTGGTTTGTATTGGTGTTGTGGGGAGACTGAAGGAAGCCCACTGAATTGCAATTAAAGAAGTTACGTAGGGCAGCGGTTTCCAAAGTCTGACAGGTTGCACACCACCAATTTAAAATGATACAACCTTAAGTACCACCAGCAAATTTTTGTCATGTACAGTAATTATAACAAATCCGTTAATGCGTACTGCTGACAGGGTGTCCACGTACCACTGGTGGTCCCCGTACCACAGTTTGGGACATTAGCAATACGTAGGGGGTGCACACGCACCCCCTGAGATTGGCGGTGCACCCCGTGCAAAAAGTGCTGCCGATGTTGCCCCCTGCTTGCCACCCTCCCCCCTTCACTGTGACACAGCCAGCAGTGTCTGTGGCAGTTCCTGCTGGCCAATGCTGCGGGTGGTCGATGCAGCCACCTGCGGGAGCTCCCTGCTTGCTGTCGCCCTGCCTCCCCAGCCTCCGAGGGCGCACAGTGTTGGTGGTTTGGGAACCAGTGATGTAGGGGAAACCCCTGAGTAGACCACAGGAGGGAGGGGGATACTGGTACCTAGTTAACATCGTGGGCAGGAGGGGCCTGAAGTGAAAGGGGCGAGAGGTAATTTGTCTGCCCCATGAAAGAGGAACTAAGGGCCATTACAGTCGTGTAGTTCAAAGGCCCCAAATATGGAATGTAAAGTTCAGAGGAAAACCTTCTAAATGCAGTTTTAAAAATAAGTTATATTTACACTTTATTGCAGCAGGTGGCTGTTTCAGGAACTGCTTGTAGTTAAATGGATTGGAAAAAAACATGAATTCAACTGGCCTTTCTTATTTGACAAATCCCTTGGTAACAGGAAAATGAGCTTTAAAATAATTTCTCCCTCTTAATAATCCAGGGACAAACATTATGTCTCCAGCAGCCCCTACTGATGTTAGTGGGACTTGAACAGGGGTATCGGAGAGAAGAATTTGACCACAAGATATTCTTAGTAGCATTGTTCACAATATTTAAAAATGACTCTAACTTGATGTCATTTAACCAACTAGTAGCTCTTATGCAGATGTACTACTTTACCATCTGGGCATGCAGTTGAGTTTTAAAATACTCCTTGTAATTTACCAAGGAGCATGTTAATGTTTTTGATTGTGCTTTGCTAAATGCTTCCTATTTTAAAAAAGACTTTTATGCTTCCAGTGACATCTGGAGCATGTGTCTAAGGCTGTGGCTAGTATGGGTACCCACCATGTTCAAAGCCTTTATTTTGCGTAGTAGGCTAGTATTTTGTTAGTTGATGATGGAGCTGCTTCATTAGTGGTTGGCTGAGGATTTTTATGTGGTCCAATGTTCTCTGCAGACTTTGCTTTCAAAGGAAGCTAAATAGCTCTTACTGACTCAAAAAATGTCAAGTATTGTTAACATTGTAAGTCAACAATTCTGCTTTTCTCGTCTTCAGTTTCTGGCAGGTTACACAAGCTTCCATCTATCTCTAAGTCCAGATGTAGTTACTTACTGCTCAAGAAGAGGCTTATGCACTAAAGATATAGGCATTAGACTACTGTGGTAGGTTTTTTTTTTTTGTTTTTTTTTTTTTAATGCTGAATGAGCTACATCAGAGGCCTGATATAAAATGTAGTTTTTCACTTGAGAAAGAAAGGAGAATGGTTTACCCATATCATGAAATTGCACTTGCTCACAACAAGCTGTTGTTCTAAGGTTGGTATTGTTGCTGAAATAAAATGCCATTGAAAATATTTGGTTTTGCCATGTGGGACTTTAAAGCGCACCTAATAGTCTCACAGTGGGTAAAGAAATGACTGACTTTTTTTTCTTATGAAAAATGAGGAATTGTCATGGTTTAGGGGGAATGAATGTCAGGGAAACATCATTTTGGCATCACTATTCCCATCTGTGAGAGCTGTGACATAACCAGGGCCCTTTTGTTTGTCCCTGTATCATCTAAATGCTCACTGCATTTGTACCATTGTAAAAATGCCTATGCCCCAACTACAATAAAGTTCCCATTATTAGCGGAGAGACATTAGCACAGCAAAATACCTAATACTTCTTTCTAACTCCCAAGAGGCTTCTAACAGGCAAGTTAGCAAAAGGAGATGTTAACTGTGAGGAGACAGCTATTCAGGTTAGTGAAGAAACTCCAGAAGGCTATAAACAAACTGTCTGGGCTGAACAATAGAAGCTTATCTATAGACCAGAACTTGAAAGCACACTTCTGGCCTAAGGAGCCATTATAGAAAAGTGCTACTATTTACAGATCTGGTGTGTGTGTGGTTTATGATGGGTAGAAACTGTTGCTCATTTTGGTGGCTAAAGAGTTCTTACGTCAGCCCTGTAAGAGGGTCAACTAGATGCTGTTTTGACTTACACATTATCAGCACACTTCTTAGCCAAGGTCTAGGACCAAATCCTGCCCTCAATTTTATACTTGGAGCAATGGGCAGTGTTTGGATAACAATCCGTAATAGAAGCCAGAATGCAGGAGCAGATTTTTAGACGCTACACTCATTTTTGCAGGTATGACTGTTAAACACACATTTTCCAGTGCTAGGAGCCAAATTGACCTGGAGTCATTGAGACAAAATATAAAGGCTGAATTCTTTCCTGCTCTTTTTAGTTATGTTACAGAGCTATACCTACACTGTTAAGAAAAAGTTTGGGAGGTGAGGAGAGGAGTCACTTATTTCTCTTATATTTTGACTTCCTTTAGTTCTGGATCTTTTCCTACCAAGTCTTTCTGGTCAAATTCTCCGGTGTGTTTACAGTGGGGGTTGCTGCTCCCTTATCTCAGTTGCAGTTGGGTTGTGAGAAATAATACATTTTTGTGCATCAAGCACTCTCTATATTGCTAGGTATTAAATTAAATGCTCCATGTTGATCATCTGAAAAGCACCTGGATCTACATGTTGGCCAACCTGTTGTTGATTTGCCTTGTTTCAGATTTATGGCCACCAATGACCTGATGATGGAACTTCAGAAGGACTCCATAAAGCTGGATGAAGATAGTGAGAAAAAAGTGGTGAAAATGCTTTTAAAATTGCTTGAGGACAAAAATGGGGAGGTGCAGAACTTGGCTGTCAAGTGGTAAGAGCCTTTGTATCGGCTGTCATGCTTATTGTCAGGAATGGAACCATCAAAGATTTCAGAAAATGCCCTAAAAGAGACCCCTACATGTTCGGTGCCTCTGGTTCTTTCAGCTCTCCCTTACAAACTCCATGTGTCTGATAGGGCAGAGGCAGCCTCTGGTTATGGTACACAGGGGTAAACTCTATGAATAAGCATGTAAAAGTCTTTTGTAGGAAAAGTTTGGAGACTTGGAACACTATTAAAAGTTGGGTATTGTGGGCTGCCTGTCTCCTATCTAAACTGGCATCTTTAAGATTTGATTCCAACAGATCAAAACTTGGGACCCACATGCTCACAAATTCTGGAGAGCTTTGAAATTCAAACTAAATTTTCCCAAAGGGTCTCATCTTTATAGTGTATCACACCACAGTGCTGACATAAATGCTTCTTGAGCATTGGTGTTTGAATTCCAGACCTGAATTGTATCAAGTGACTCTAGAACGTATGTAGTTTTCCCTGATTATACTCCCAAGCGTAGCTTGTGCCGTGGATTCACTTTTGTTCATTTCAGAAAATCTTTTTCCTTTAAGAAGTAGAGGCCCCTGGATTATAGGATCCTCTGTAAAAGTGATTATGATGCTGACTTGTTCTTCCTGTCTCTTTCCCCTAGCTTATCTAAATTGGATTGTTCACTCTAGCCATGACATTGAATGGGTCAGTTCACGCACAGGGTTCCAAAAAGGTGGGCCATTTAAAGACCATTTTGGGTTCCTGCATTCAACCCCACTGTGGATTTTCTCTCTTTCCCCTCTTTTTCTCATCTTTAACTGCTTTCCTCCTCTATTTTTCCCTGTGACCTTGGATGTTTTTTGCCTACCGCTCTCCTGATCCTTCCCTAATTGTCTTTGGCCTTGTTCCTGTCTGTATCTAGCTGCTTTGGTTCCATTTCTTCCCCTGTTTTCAAAGTAAGGACACTGAACAAATTGAGATGTTTATTTGCCTGTTTATCCACGGTTGGATCAACTAGAACATGAGTCCTTACTCTCTTTGATTTCTTTCTTGTCTATGATGACTTTCTATTACATGCTGGATGAACCAATGAGGAGATGATCTTCAAACTTAGCAGCCAATCAGTTGTTTCAGATCAGAAGGCTGGTATCTTTAATTAATAGATGTGGCATCCCTTAGGATACTGGCAGCCTGATTAGACTGTCTGACCTACATGGTCCATATAGGGCACAGGTTTGGGATTCAGTAAGTTACTTAAAATTGAAAGTCTTATAGTATAAATCTTACTTCAGCTAAAACTGGCATTCTTATGATTTTATTCCTACAGAGGGAGACTTAGCTCAAAACCCTGGGCCCAAATGCTCCCATATAGAAATCTGTTCTATTTCTTGTTTTCTCTCAGATTTTTTATGGGAACTGGGAAAGTTACATAACTTCTGTGTTTGTTTCCCTGTCTACAAAATGGGGATGGTGATAGGTACTCTTTTTTGTGCAGCACTTTGAAATGTATGGAAGAAAAGCATTTACACTTATGCCAAACTATTATTGAGTATTGCTTTTTCAGGAATGTATATTTTAGGAAACTTGTCTAGAATCCAAGTGACTATTTGTTTATCTTGATCATGGAATAAAATATCTAGGTGAGGGGGTATGGGGAGGGAAACATTCTACTACTAACCCAGACAAACGCCATATTCAGAGTGTGGCACAAAGACCTGGGTCTTGGGTTTTTGGTGTGCTAGCAAGTCCATACAGATTTTGCAGAATTAGCATTAGGAGACGGAAAAGTCAGTGTTTCCAAACAGAGGAGGAAAGAATGCAGTTGGAAAAGATGTTTTCAGGCTCTCTTGAGAATAAATGTTGGACTGGAATCATTGTTACAACAGAGGAGCTGACTGACCCTTCTTAGTAACAAAATCCTTAATAGCTGACAAAAAAATGTAATGGTGAAAACCTATCTTTGAAGGGAGCTGCTCAGCTCTCATTTATGTCAAAGGGAATTTTGCCATAGGCTGCGGTGGGAGCAGAATCTGTCAAGCTGTGCCTCTGAGTAAGCTTCAGTAACATTGGAGGATGTTGGTACAGGTGCTGCTGCACTTCTGGATTCTCAAGAGCTTGTGGGCAGGCTTTATTCCTCATCTGCACACACCTGCTTCGATTAATCCCATGGCAACACTAGTCGCACAGTCTTACCCTAGTCTGATGTAGGATATCCCACTTAAAATGCCAACTTCAGGTTCAACCTCTTAGAAACGAGTGAGACACATGGATCCTTTCTTCATTTGCACCAAATTATGTGTTTATGTATTATGAATGCCTGCTATTGCTGAGTCTTCTATCTTTGAGGAGAGTTATCTCATATTTTTTTTGCCTTGTAATATCAACTTGGCAACGTTTCTTTAATTCTGGCAGCCTGTTGGCTTCAGTGTTTATCAATCTGCTGGCGGCTGCTAAATTTGGATTTGTTTTCTATATACACTGTGCAAGTTGCATGTTACTGTGTGTGAACAGTTCACTTTAGACTAGAAGAAAGAGAACAAATCTGGTCTCCCCAATGAATCAACCAAGCACAGTGACACTGTCTGCTCAGCAGCGGAATTGGAATCCAAATTGGCAGATACCTCACTGCTGCCTCTGCATCAGACAGGGAGACTCCTTTACATCTAAGAATGTAGAATGATGTCATCTTTCATATCCAAAAATGAACTGATGAAACATAGGTTACACAAAAAGCACATATTATGGATAAAGTCCCCCTGCTTGTCTGTATGGCAGCTTATAGGAAATAATAAAAAAAGAAAACAAGTCCTCATTCAGGATTCCCACTGCAGTCATTCCCTGTGTAAGGCAGGTAGAATCTGGTCCACATGAACTAGGTGCTTGGTTCTCTGAGTCACTTCCCCTGCAAGACCTGTGGAGGGGGGGGAAAGGGTCTGGTAGTTAAGGCACAAGAGTGGGAATGACTGCCCCTGAATCTTGGGCTAGTCAGTTAATCTATCAATGCGTCGTGTTGTATGATTAGCATTGGTCAGAATATTTTTTTTGACTGTGTTTGCATGAATAAAAGATGACTTTGCTTTGGAGTGTTGGATTTACCCTCCTTCATGTTTGCTTTTCACAAATATTTTAGGCACTGAATTTGCTGGGGAAAAGAACTGATGGAAACACCAGTTGTCAGTAAACAGTGTAAAATATTCATGGCAAAATGAAGGAACATTGGTGTGTACAACCCAAACTCTAAATACCAGTCATTTGTGGTGAACTGCTCACAAACAACCAGAGGCAAATTATTCCACTTATAATTCTGAATAGTAGTTGAGTTAAAGAAAATGGTATGCTCTTAGCCAAGAGGAAAGTAAGGGGGTTAATCGAAACCAGCATTCACTCAGCCCTAAGGTTAACTGTGCAGAGGCTGAGTTCTTTGTACATACAGCAAAGGGCAATAGAAGTTTAACTTCATCTGGAAACATTTACTCATTTTGGCTTTTGCTTTTAGGCTGGTCCATTTCTGACACTTTTTCAAACCATGACTGTAGATACCTATGTGACCTCAACATTGTCAACCGCATAATACTTATTAGGCTGCCTGGGCAATTAAATTAATCTTCTTTGCTCTAAAATGCACCAGCTTGCCCAGCGACATTCTCCAATAGAGTAACTGATGTACCCTATGATAGAACTGATCTGAAATCTATGAGCCACCCCACTGACTTCTTTGGGCCTTTCCCAGGCCTTGTGTGATGTACTAACTGGACAGGAATATGAAATATATTGAGTCTAGAATTGTAATGGAGACCTTAGGGCACCTGCCGTGAATTTAATTATGGTTTGGTAATGAAGGCAACATCTTCAGCATTAGGTCTGGCATACCCTTTAGCTCCAAGAAATCTGACCAGTGAGTGCTAAACCTTTTGTGACCAGGGGGACAGCCTCCTTTCCATTTGGTCTCTTTTCTCTCTGCCTTCTTCAGTTTGGGTCCTTTGGTCAGCAAAGTGAAAGAATATCAGGTGGAAACTATTGTGGATACACTGTGCACAAACATGCTGTCGGATAAGGAACAGCTCCGGGATATCTCCAGCATTGGACTGAAAACTGTCATCTCAGAGTTGCCTCCAGCATCTACAGGTAAAACATTTCCCACCCATTTCCTTCTAATGTCCTTCATTATGATCCTTCCCTCTGAGAAGGCCATAAAGCCTGTTAAGAAGCAGAGGACAGCTTGGAATTCAGAGCCTATGTTTGTGTGGGAGCCCCTGCCCCGTGCCCAACTGTGTTAGTAATGGGATGTAACAATTTAAAGATAATAGATCAGAATAATGATTTTAAGATGATAGAAATGGATATGCAGGAGTAAGTAGAGATGAGATGCAAAATAAAACTGGCTGTTGGATCTCCCAGGGTGTGTTTAAAATTTGAACTTGCATCTCTATTTTGCAAACAACCCTGTTCTGTAGGATGATCCTACAGCATCAAACCCCATATCCAAGTGCTCTTGCTTGGATGATGCACTAAGAGAGCCCTTCTGGCAGGGCTGCTCCTGCTCTGGTTCCAATGAAGTATATCTCTCTCTCTCTGTCTCTCTCTCTCACTCCCTGCTGGAATCCCAGCTGTGTCAGTGTTTTTACCACCTCCACATACAGCCTGTTTCAGTGCCTGTGTTACCTTGCTGTTGACAGCCTCTCCTGGCTGCCCCTCCTGCCCAGTTTTTTTTTACCCAGCCCAGTGGTTGTATTGAGAAAATGCAAGAGCAGCTCTATACAGTAATATACATGTATATCCCCAGGGTGCCATCATTTGAACTGTCTCTGCAGCAGCTCCTGTGCCTTATGTCATTGTTCATGCATCTGTTATTCCCTTGTAGCAGGTGGCCAGGGCAGCATTTCTTGCCTTGATTTTTTTTTTTTTTTGAGTTGGCAGTGATACCCCGTGGAATATTTTTTTCATGCATAGTTTCATAGTTGGTAGGGTTGGAAGGGACCTGAGCAGATCATCAAGTCTGACCCCCTGCCATGGCAGGAAAAAGTACTGGGGTCAAACGACCCCAGCGAGGTGTTCATCTAGCCTTGTCTTAAAGACCCCCAGGATAGGAGCCAGCACCACTTCTCTTG